AACAAAAAGAGGGAAAATTACAGGAATGTAAAGGGGAAAAGCGAAGGGGCAGGGAACCCCTGAGTATGCATAATAAGTGCTACATACAGCAGTAATTGAAGGCTGGAGAGGCAAATGCCTTGATACTGGAAACACCTACTTGTATGTAAAGGTAGATATGCAAAAATCAATAAACAGTAATAGTAAGTACAGAGGCAAGGTCACTCCAATCTGTTAGGTTTAAATATCTAAAAATGTCTAAAGCAAGAAAAGAATCCCAAGAATACCAGTTAGGTAGTATTCAAAAAGACACTTCTGGGGTCAAATCATTGCTTACATCTGCTCTAATAAATTAGAATTTTTTGGTTTCACCTTAAGTGCCTAGACCATCTTTTCGTTTTGAGAACTGTAAAGAAAAGAATCCCAAGGATACCATAAATGAGCTATCTTTACTAGAGTGTCATGAGGAGGCCACAAGTATCTCCACCGCTTTAGAACCATGCACCAATAGATGGTGGTCCTGTCTTCAATGAAGCAATATGATGGATTTAGCTACATTAATAAAGTGTTTACACAAAAAAAAAATGCTTATCTTCATTGATAGTAGTGTATGGTGAAGTAAAATAAATGGTGGTTCCAGACTAACAGGTAAATTTGAAACCTTGGAGATTATACTTTGAATATTTCTCCAGTAAAAAGCGAGTGTAGAACACCACCACCAAATATGAACACACATATACCTACATAATGTCCGTATCTCCAACATTTGTCTGGAATAGACGGGGGCCATGTTTCATTTTTAGCAATCTACACCTTGTGTAACCCTCACTTCCCATTTTCAAGGCAGTACTTGCTTCTTAAATATTAAAAGCTTAAACCTGGATGCTTCCACTGCATTTAGGACATTTACAGAGTCAAAGAAAGAACACAGCAATGCCACAATGTAAGTAATGCACAGAAGTTCCCATAGAGTGACCATCAGTTCCATCCAGGCAGCCTGACATCTGTAAGAGTAAGATGTCTATGCACAATGAATCATTTCTTCTGTACGTGTAAGGACATCTTCAAATAGCCCTTATCTGCTACGTTCTGTGAAACCAGTTTCCCCCAATAACACTCTGGCATTTGTCTGGGGCTGCTGTAATTGCAGTTCCCAAAGCACTCATTAGCAGGCGACACAGTGACGAACATGAAAAGGAAACATGCCGCTCTCTGAATATTCTTTTATTTCTTTTTTTTTTTCTGATGAGCCCATCTTTGTTGACAGGAAATGTTTCAGCACATTGAAACACATTATTGAATGAATCTGTCTTTTATGACTCATTCCCTTATCTAAATTCTTGAACTTTCATATGGTACAAATCCATTGCAGCATTACATCCTGCTGACTTTTTTCTTCTGTAACTAAATATTTAACTGAAAACGTGGTTATATATTTAAAAACACACATTTGGCACGTAATTGCAATCATGCACCAAGATGTATTTAATCTATTCATTCATTTCTACATGATGCAAATTGCACAAATAAAAACTGTTACAACTTACGGTGATATTTGCCATTCAGATTAGTGGACTCTGTGTGCAATAGAGGCAAGCACAACTTGCATAAATAATAGAAGTTGATTGTGGTTTCCTTGAGCTTGCACAAGTGATTTGATTGTATTGGTGTATTTTATTATTATTATCCCTTCTCAAAGTTTTGGTGTGTCATTTGATTATGTTTGGTAGATACACAAACAAGTCACCTGCAGTCCATTTCGATTCCAAATACTATGACACAAATTTGTGTTGTCCACATACGTTTCTCAGTATGTAGGACCCACATAATGAGAAACGTATGTGGACAACACAAATTTGTGTACATTGTAGGTAATAGAGAATTCTATAATTATGTCATGTTATGAAGACTTGATGAAAATTCTAATGTTCTTGCAGAACCTTTTCACACAGCCCTATTAACCTATGATATATTCATGTCATTACATTCTTCCACGAATATAGTAAGAGCATGCACCAAAAGGGGTTAATAAGACAATTTCTCACAAAGATTTCATTTAGGTTTTTGTTGATCCCTTCATACTAAATTTTTTAATCCCCAAAATCTTATATATGCCTTCCATGTTAAAGTATTTGTTGTGCAATTTCTTTCCTGCAAATAATTAGCATGTGTTGGTATTTATAAATTTCAATCAACATATTTACTTTTACATTAAATCTATATTTTCTAACTTGTTTATCTTTTTTTCCCTAACAGAATATCTCAGAAGAAATGTTTTACCAGCTTAGTAATATGCTTCCTCAGATCTTCAGAGTTTCTTCAACACTTACTCTGACATCAAAGCGTTGACAGGAACTTAGCTGTGAAAATCAGGAGTTGACATTTTACGTTGTTACTTATAATGTTGATTTAAACAAGGACCAATTATAATTTCAGCCATCTAAATCAATGATGGTTAAGCGATCTCACAACCCTACATTCAGGCAAGCTTAAGGGCCCCTGGTTAAAGTCAGTAGCTCGAGTATAAAAATGTAAAATGTCTATATGTTTTTTTTAAATTCATATGCTTTGTACATTGTACATGTATGTATTTGTACATACATATATATATTAACACATTCATACAAATACACATACAACCCCCGATAAGACGCTGGGTGGAGGAGGTGGAAGCTACACGGAAATTTGAGGATATGAAAGCAAATATCCCGACACAAAGGGACCGCTACATAAAACGTTCCATTGGATACGCCATACAACCTCAGACTCCTTTCAACACCACCACATAACACAGTAACCGCAGAAAGAAAGGGAGAGAGAACAACAGACCCAAGTGGGTGTTCGGGAGGCAACGGGGCGCGGCGGGCCGAGGCGGCAACGGGAGACAAGACATCCAACCTTCATCCCATACCACCGCCCCAGCCCTCTCCTACTCACAACACTCTCAAACAGACACCGGAAAAGACCAAGCTATCATAAAGAGTGAAGACAATTAAATATCACACAAACATAATCACTCGCTATGGCAATCCCCACTAAGACATAGACAACCTAAAACATCGCAGACACCAGGAGGCAGAACAAGAGGCTGGAGATAACAAGCAGCATCCCGAGACTGGACTCCCACCCAACCCACAATCAAACATATTGACACACACGACATGGAGACACAGTGACAGGACAAGACCAAATAAGACATAACGACATGCCACACACAACTCCCCGAACATCCTACATGAACACATCCGAAACACGCTAAAACAACGACCCAATCTCCTCAAAACAGACACAGAAACAGAACGAATATAAGGCCGACGTTGGGAAACACACTAATGACCCAGGGATACAATACTATTAGAAACACGAGACACCGCTCTACCTGCCAGACCCCAGCAAACCCCACAAAATCCACAGCAGTAAGCAACACAAGAAGCCAAGATGAGCAGGGTTACCGCTGGGGCGGACAGAAAAGGCACCAAATAGGAGATACCACCCCAGACACCCGACACGCCACACGCACCCACACTACACTCCCACATAAAGACCTACTACACAAAGCCATAAGTAAAACCCAAACGCAACATCAACGATCCCAACAGACGCGACAAATAGTCGAAGACTCAATCACACAGGGACTAATAAGACACAACAAGTTCACGACAAGGTTCAAAAACGTACCTGTATGTCTACCACAACATTTACATAAAATAAACGCATACATCAGATATGCACAAATCGCAATGTATGTCAGATAATTATGATGCATAAAGTATGCCAAACCTGCCTCTGCGCAGGCAACCAACGGCTTATAACAATGTACCGAGAACCATGCCTCTGCGCAGGCAGATACACGCTACATTAAAAAAAAAATGTTTGTTAACCAAGCTTATGACATGACTACAATAAAAATATTTAAAACAAATACACATACGTGAGCATTTACTCACAAACGTACACACATTAAACATTGCAATTTGATTTACAAAAAATGGTTAGTTACTAAAGTGAGAATTTAAAGTGAATTAAAAAAAGAATTTAAAATGTAAGGTCTGTGTAGCTGAATCGAAAGTATAACTGACTAAGAGAACTGTTTCAGTTCAGCTATTTTACCTTAAATTTGAAACGTTCAATTCACCTAGAATTCTCACTTGAGTGAATAAGCCTGAGAGAATCTGCTGTGGGTGGCTGTCCATGAGGTAAGCATTAAGGTTGACAGTGGCCTGGACTAAAAAAAAGATTGAGTAGAGTCAGCAAGAATTCACTAAACCACCTAGTGTCCACAGAAGAAAGCCTCGTAAAGGGAAATGGGAAAGAAAAATGCCTAAATTAATAAATATGAGTTGCCCCAGTCGCAATGCCCCCAAGAGCCTAAACCTAGTTGTCCTTGTGGGAAATATATCTCTGTTCAAAATGAAATCAGAACGTAGTCCATAAAGCAAGCATTTAAGGGAAGTCTTAATGACTACTATGCACTATCTACTGAAAAATGTTTGTCTTTTGTCTGTGTACGGTTTTTGTTTTTTTATAATATCTAAAAAAAAAAAATCGTATGTGATTGGTCAGTATTATGTTGACCTGTTGTCCTCGGCATTTTATTAATCAGCCCTGTGAACATTTCACTGGAAAAAAGCACAACAATAAAAACAGTGGCCACATTTTGAAAATATTTTCAAGCAATTCATTCAAGGACTCTTAGACTCTAAACTGTGTGGAGTACTGTACACAGTACTTTTAGTTAAGACCTGTCTGTGTGGAATTAGAGAGCTTTTGTGCGTGTAATTAGGGCAGTGTTTCCCAACCCAGTCCTCAAGGCACACCTACCAGTCCAGGATTTAGGGATTACCCAGTTGTGTCTAAGGTGTTTTTACAAAGAAGAAAAAAAACACCTTAGACACAATTGGGTAATCCCTAAATCCTGGACTGGTAGGTGTGCCTTGAGGACTGGGTTGGGAAACACTGAATTAGGGCACTTGGCGGTTGGTTGTGTGTGATAGTGACACTATTGTGCAGTTGGTGGGTGGATGTGCGTGATTCGGACATGTCTATTCAGTTGGTGGTTGGTTGTGTGTGAATAGACACGATTGTGCAGTTGTCGGTGATTGGACATACTTGGCTGTTAGATGATGTTTGTATTGTATTGAGGCATACTTTGCAGTTAGATGATGGTTGTTTGCAATCTGATGCCTTTATTGGAGTCTCATATTTCTTCCTGGGTAACCAAAAGGAAAGACACAAGTATATTTTTGAATCTGGACATTTACAGTGACTGTCAAATATCTGTTACTACTCTCATGTGATTAAATATATTGACTTCCTTTTTAATATTTGCCAAATAGATAGAAAGTAATTAATGATGCCATTAACATGTTACTAAATAAGTTCCATATATGTCCATCTAAGGGGTAAATGCTCAACATTAATATATTGACTTCCTTTTTAATATTTGCCAAATAGATAGAAAGTAATTAATGATGCCATTAACATGTTACTAAATAAGTTCCATATATGTCCATCTAAGGGGTAAATGCTCAACATTAATTGGATTTCATATGAAATAGTGCATTATAGACAGATATGTGTGTAAAAAGTATATGCCCTGTCTGTCATACATATTGCTACATCTCCACTTTTAAGAGAGTCCTTAATGAGATATGCATGGAGAGACAAAATAAAAAAATAGATGTATACATTGAAATCAAAACTGTATTTTTATTGGGTGTCTCCAGCCAATCCAAATGTAGCTCTAATTCAATTCACAATCTCTTTGCAGATAATGAGAAAAAAAGAATAAACACAAGTATGGTTTAAAAATTCTGGCATCCTGAAACATTTCAGATGCACATTTTTCATATTCACCACTGCTTCTTTAATTACACTGGGTATCTGAGATCTTAGATGAATGGTAGCAACATGAAACATAGAATGTGACGGCAGATAAGAACCATTCGGCCTATCTAGTCTGCCCAATTTTCTAAATACTTTCATTAGTCCCTAGCCTTATCTTATAGTTAGGATAGCCTTATGCCTATCCCACGCATGCTTAAACTCCTTTACTGTGTTAACCTCTACCACTTCAGCTGGAAGGCTATTCCATGCATCCACTACCCTCTCAGTAAAGTAATACTTCCTGATATTATTTTTAAACCTTTGTCCCTCTAATTTAAGACTATGTCCTCTTGTTGTGGTAGTTTGTCTTCTTTTAAATATGGTCTCTTCCTTTACTGTGTTGATTCCCTTTATATATTTAAATGTTTCGATCATATCCCCCCTGTCTCGTCTTTCCTCCAAGCTATACATGTTAAGATCCTTTAACCATTCCTGGTAAGTTTTATTCCGCAATCCATGAACCAGTTTAGTAGCCCTTCTCTGAATGCTCTCTAAGGTATCAATATCCTTCTGAAGATACGGTCTCCAGTACAGTGTACAATACTCCAAGTGAGGTCTCACCAGTGTTCTGTACAATGGCATGAGCACTTCCCTCTTTCTACTGCTAATACCTCTCCCTATACAACCAAGCATTCTGCTAGCATTTCCTGCTGCTCTATTACATTGTCTGCCTACCTTTAAGTCATCAGAAATAATCACCCCTAAATCCCTTTCCTCATATGTTGAGGTTAGGACTCTATCAAATATTCTGTACTCTGCCCTTGGGTTTTTACGTCCAAGATGCATTATCTTGCATTTATCCACATTAAATGTCAGTTGCCACAATTCTGACCATTTTTCTAGTTTACCTAAATCATTTGCCATTTGGCTTATCCCTCCTGGAACATCAACCCTGTTACATATCTTAGTATCATCAGCAAAAAGACATACCTTACCATCAAGACCTTCTGCAATATCACTAATAAAAATATTAAAGAGAATGGGTCCAAGTACAGATCCCTGAGGTACCCCACTGGTGACAAGTCCAAGCTTCGAATATATTCCATTAACTACAACCCTCTGTTGCCTGTCACTCAGCCACTGCCTTACCCATTCAACAATATTGGAATCCAAACTTAAAGATTGCAGTTTATTGATAAGCCTTCTATGTGCAACAGTGTCAAAAGCCTTACTGAAATCTAGGTAAGCAATGTCTACTGCACCACCCTTATCTATTATTTTAGTTACCCAATCAAAAAAATCAATAAGATTAGTTTGGCATGATCTCCCTGAAGTAAACCCATGCATAAATAATAGAAGTTGCTTGTGGTTTCCTTAGATCTTTAGAGAGATATGCATTTTATTCTGAGCAGGGAGTCCTCATGCTACAGTATGAAACATGCAGGCTGCCCCGGTGAAAGTCACTCACAGCAAATTGCAGCATGTGACTTGTATTCATTTATGGAATCAATAGAGAGGACTATAATAAAATCCCTATGTTTTAGCAATGACCATACTTGAGTTTTTAACTTCCTATCACCATCTCTCTTTGGCTTGGGTATGTGCTAAAACCACCATTGCCAAATAGATCGGCGACCATAACACACCAGGACAGCACACATGCAAAAATACATACCGTATTTGCGCAATTCTATTACAACATGATTTTAATGTTTGCTTTTATTGAAGAAGCGATTATTAAACTTTAATCTAGCTTTTGTAATATCATACCTTTTCCATGTGCTATTTTATACAAACTGATTCAGATTCAAAACTTTCCTATATTGTAAATAACAAATACTGACAGTTACTATGCTATTTGTGATTCTAGTGCAATCTAGTTACTAACTTTTCCTTTGCATAGTGTAGCACCAAGCATTCAAAATTTTATTTCACTAATGTAGTCATTGAACGGACATATTTCATTTATTCGCTAATACTTGTTTTTTTTAAAGCGGATCAGTCACCCACCTCAAATGACTCCTTTGACTTATGTATTTTTTTCTACACCTGAAAAAACGCAGAGCTACATTTTGTTAAAACCTCTGCTTCTTCAGCTGGCTCTTTCTATGGAGAATCCTAGGACTCTCGCACATATGTAAAGCTGGAGAGGACCTTGGTGTAACCTGCGAGGATAAGTTCGGATAAGTAAAAACTACCCTTCCTTGCTCCCCCATAGCCGCTGGAATGCAAGCAGTGTAATCACCATCACCAAAGTATGCAAAGCCCCCAGAAGGTTACAGAGGTGCTTTAATAACTAGAATATTAGGTGAGGACTTTTTTTTCAGTGCTCTTTTCCCTACTTGTCTCTTCACAATCTCTTTCAAGTGTTTCCGTTCCAATGTTCACCTTTCTCTGGGAGAGGCCTAGGTGTGTTCCAATACTGCCAGGGTAGGGTACCCTCTATGGTTCTGGCAGGGAATAGTGGTGCAGGATGAACTAAACTGTGCAACAAGGAATTGCTAAACAGTCAGTGTTGTCAATTTTGATACACCTGAGTGTTCTAGGGTCTTGAACACTTATACATGCTTTTGTGTAAAATAGCCGAACCTGATCACAAAATCTGGTACATGGCCAGAAGAACAATAACATTTTAATACGTGAATATGTAGTATCTATTGTGCTATCCAAAGTCTTAAGTTATTTTAAGTTTGTATTTTTATTGTAGCTTTGGAATCACTTACTTTCTTTAATTTATAAAAAAAAATACACTGGTCTGTATATCTATGGTTACTAATGTGTATATTTTGTTTTTGTGACATTTTGGGGGATAAAAATGAAATGATGTGGTAGAAAAGGTTTTTAAAAGCCAGAAAAATTAAAATTTGATTATGATATATAATTCTACTGACCAAGCCACCAAAGCTACTCCCCAGCAAAATATTTATAAATAGAATTCTTCTGACATAGGAAATTATGGTATAAATGTCAGACATCTCGTGGGGGTGTGCAGGGTTCTTTTCAATGTTGTAAAATATGCATTTAGATTTGTTATTGTTTATCTGTATGGAAATGTGTATCCATGTGTCAATTCCAAAATGTGTAGGTATTTGCAAATACGTGTCTGTGTTTTTTTTGGAAATGACTATCTGTAAGTGTATGTAAATTTGGGATTGTGTCTTAGATTTTCTGTGGACATGTCTGAGAGTGTGTGTTGGTAGGGGCTCAGAAAATGATGTTATAAGGGGCCCCTCAATTTCTGTTAGCAGCCTTGTACAAAATACTGCATATTCTGTTTTAACCCGCTTTAAGATGCCAGGCAAGCATCCTCTCAGAGTAATCCATCACTCAATTTCAGAATGATTTAATGTTACCTGGGTCCTGCAACATAACTGGTCTAATGCAGGAGAACTGGATGTTTTCACTGAGCTAAGCAAATCCAATAGAGAACCACACTCTTCTGACACTCTCAGCCAATGAGTATACCCACCAAGTAGTTTGGTGGAGCTAAATAGTTTCTCTTGCAATAAGAATCCAGAAGCATGGCCTGCAGGCAAGTTGTTAAATTGTTCTAATTACTTTGGGAGGGCACCAGAGAACTTTTGATACTAAAACCTCTATGGCCCGCTCTAGAGGTTATGGTGCTTAGTGTTCCTTTAATACACTGATCAGCCACAATATTAAAACCACTGACAGTTGAAGGTAATAACATTGATTAAATTGTTACAATGGCACATGCCAAGGGATGCAAAATATTAGGCAGAAAGTGAACAGTACATTCTTAAATTTCATTTATTGGTAGCAGGAAAAATGGGCAAGCAAAAAGATCTGAGTGACTTTGACAAGGGCCAAATAGTGATGGCTAGATGACTGGGTCAGAACATCTCTGGCAAGTTGCTTGGGGTGTACCTGGTATGCAGTAGTTAGCACCTACCAGAAGTGTTGCGTGGTAGGACAATTGGTGAATTGGACGCCCATGGCTCATTGATGCACATGGTGATTTTAGGCTAGCCCATCTGGAACTACTGTAGCTTAAATTGTTGAAAAACCTAATGCTGGCCATGATAGGCGACAGAACACATTTTGTTGCATATGGGGCAGTGTAGTCGCTGACTGGTCAGAGTGCACATGATGACCTCTGTGCACCACCAAAAGTGCCTTCTTTTGGGGACGTGGACATCAGAAATGGACCGGGAGCAATTTAAGAATGTTGCTCTGTCTGAAGAATCACATTTGCTTTTAGATCAGATGGATGGCCTGGTGCATGTGTGTAGTTTATTGAGGAAGAGATGGTAGCAGGATACACTGCGGGAGGAAAGCAGGCAGGCGGAGGCAGTGTTATGCTCTGAGCAATGGGTCCTGGCATTCATGTTGATGTTACTTTTACACGTATCACCTACCTAGACTGTTGCAGACTACATAAT